CGATATGGTTCTGTCAGTCTCGCACGTGTCTGTTCTGACTGTCTGAAATGCTGCTTCTTCTGATGTTCGTTGTTGGACTGCTGGGTGACAGCGAGTATAGCCTGAGGGTGATCATCATTCCGCTTGTTTTCTGCTTTGTATGCCTCATCTTTGGTTGCAGACTGCACGATGTAATTCGTTTTATAATTGAACGTGCGAGCGGTTTTGGCCAAGTCCTTGTTCAGCATACCCTTAAGCAGCTGTGTTCGGACGAATCTCTCTTGGTCATCTAAGCTGTATCCACACAATCTCACTTTCTCTGTGAGTCTAGAATGAAAAGCAACGACGGGCTCGGCCTTGCCTTGCTGCATGCTGGTAAAAGCTTCGTGCTCCGATGCCGAATCCGTCATTGACCTCAAATACGTATCAACATTCGTTAAGAATGACGAGTAGGAAGTCGATTCATCTAGGTTCGGCCTAAGCTTAGCGGCTCTGACTATCCCTTGCAATTCTGTGCCCATTGACAAAAAGAGGAGCTTGGCGCGACAAATAGGATCCGACACATTCGAAAGCGATATTGCTATCTCGAAATTTTCGAGAAACCGCTGCCAAGCCTCCCACAGCTTATTGGCGGGCACGTCTTTGGGGAAGGCTGGGATCTGTTCCCAACGGATGCTTGAGGTGTTTTGAATAGTTCCGCTGGCCTCAACGGAATTGCCCCAGCCTTTTTCCCTTTCATGCGGACGATCAGATCCTTTTGGGACCTCGTGTAGAACGTTTCCTTGGGCAGTTTCCATGGATTTTACGAGCTGCGTTAAGACGTTTTCAAGGCGAGAAATCCGTCCATAGAGGCTTTCATCAGCTTCCATTGTGGGTGCACTTCAGTGTATTCGATTTATTTGCCATTAACTATAATGGCAAACCTGGCAGGATCGCCAATGTGGAGTTCCGCTGGCCGCTCCAGCGGTTCGGAGTCTTCCGGTGGAATCGCTCTGCCAGTTGGGGAGCAACTCACCTATACGTGTGTCTTTGGCGACGGTCTGCGAGAGAAGAGGCCCGTTTGCTGCGCTACCGCGCTGACGAATGCTTCCGCTGTCGCTCTGGTGATGCAGGGGTGTGTTCGCATGCATTGACGGCCCACATCTCCTTTATCGGGCAACACCTTCCCCACAGTGGCATAAAAGATTTTACCGGCTCAATTTCATCAGCGGAGGCGGTAGACAGGTCTAATTGTGTCCTCCGTCAAAAAAGCAAGGAAAGGATTTTCTGTGAACATTTGTGGACTGATGTGTATCCTCTAGTGATTTTCAAAATTCAAGTTCAACAATATTTAACTCTACCATATTGTATTTCATGAACAAATGTCCAAAAAGCACTAATATGTCTAGGTACAACTTTGGAACACCCCTGCTTGTTTCAGATGACGTTTAAACAGCTCATTATCACGCTGAATCATTGTTTACATTTCAATCAACAGTTTCTTGTATCGCAAGTGTCAGTTCTTTACATGTTCGTGACAATGCGAACCAAGAAATTTTCTCCGGAAACAAGTGTACTATCTCCAGCATTTCTCTGAGTCTATAAGCGAAATTGGAAGGTGTAAGCATTGGAGCCGTTCAAAACGCGATTCGAAATTATGATGATGAAGCAACTTTCCAAGACAAGCAAAAATCTGGACGAAAACCGAACCCTGTTGACCGAAATCTGGACGAAATCCGAACCCTGTTGACCGAAATCTAGACCGGAAAATCGAGCAAGTCTTCACTCGCATAAAAAATTGTTTCGATTCGAGACGTGGCTAAAAAATTGGGATTCTCGAAGAGTAACGTCCAGCAAGAATGAGTCTAAAGACGTATAAGAAGCAGAAGAAGCCAAAGCGCAGTGACGAACAAGCCGCATCCGTCAAACCGAGGGCTCGAAAGTTATACGACCAATTGCTGTGCGGAAAATCGATGTACGTGATTATGGATGATGAATCATACGTTAAATTTGATTACAAAGCTCTTCCTGGTGATCAGCACTACACCGCGTTTGTGATGGCCGAAGTGTTGACGACGCGGGTGAGTCGATTTTTACCGAAGAATTCGGTAAAAAGGCTATGGTTTGGCAAGCCATTTGTGAGTGTGGTATGCTTTCCAAACCGTTTGTGACAACGGAGACAATGACATGATCCGCAAACACGACGCCTAAGTACTGTTTTGATGTCGGTTCATTACTTCAAGGACACGTTAGCCTGGCATAAAGCCAACAAGGTCCAATTCGTACCCAAGGAGATGAATCCGCCAAACTTTTCCCAGGCCAGGCCAATCGAAACTTTTTGGGCCCTGACCATATTTGCGGAAACATGTAAAGGCAGCGGATTCCGTTACAAAGTTTGTGAAACACTGCGAAAAAGTATCCAAAATTGTTGAAAATTGGAAAGGCATCTGTGCTGAAACCAACGAGTAGCGTGAGATCAAAAATCCGACTTGGCTTACGATTGATCGGATCTCGGATTTTCTACGTTTAACTGTAAGAGAATACTATAGAGAACATGAATACGAAATAAAAACCGAATTTGCTGTAAACAGAATTACGTTATCGTTTTTTTTTAATCATGCTAAGACATTCTGGGACACCCTATACATATCTGTGGAAATTAATAGCTGAGGAAGTCGTGTTGCCAAAACCGGGTAGGTACTGTTATTCTTTTGAACCTTTATGGAACATCAGGGAATATCAGGGAATTTGGTTTTCTTCATTGAGTAGAAACCATGATAAAGAGTTTTGTTTCATAAGTAGGGTTTTTGATCTAATTTCCGTCGTACTAAGCACAACCCACGCTTTATCTCTCTTTTCTGAACGAGTTTAAACAAAAAGGGGAATATTTCTGTCAAATATAACTTCTAAATTTATTCACCTTTTCATACGTACTATTGAATTTGATAAAGAGTCACAAATTGTTGAGATATTTTTTAAAATCTAATACTGCTTCTTGATTCTAAATTTGTTCTACGAGTTTCAATTCCGTCCAAACGCATTGAAACGGTATTAGATTTTCTTCGTCCTACGGATAAACGTAGAAAAAGGGGATTCGCTAGGAGCGCTTCTTTTATTTTGAAAACAATAGGTGTAAATATTCATACAATGCGCTCTAATAGGATTTATGTTGTAGCTAATGAACTAACGCATCGGCACATACCTATTATTGATTTGTGCACGGTGAGATCATTGATATTATTGATCTTTTCTGATCGATAGAACGGAAATGGGCGATAACGACAAAGTAGCGCTCTACCCTATAGTAGAAGTAACCTACAACAATCAAGAGCATCACAAAGATTTGAATTTGGGATAATCCTTGAGGACGTACCAAGGACAAAGATATCAGCAATTACCAAACTTGAATGTGTATTGTGTGAGCTAATGTTTGTGGTCTTCGAAGAGATAGTAAGATGCGTCATAAAAAACACCGGCTGAGTATCACCTTACTGACACGTATTCATTGTCCCAAAACAGCTACCCAGTCAACGCAAATTATACCGCTGCCCGAAAATAAATTAATTGATCCAGAAATCGAGCATTGCAACTAATTTCGTTTATTTTAATTTCGCATCTACAAACTTCAAGCCCAATAGTTTATGAAAAACCACAACTGAGGATGCAATTGCAAACATTACCCAAAGCTTCTGCATACATCGGGCCAAACATTATTGCAGGCCGGCCTCTACTTCCGCTCTGCAATCTGCAAAATCAACAGCTTCCCCGCCCTCGAGTCACCAGTACATACGAGAAATGAAAGTTGACTCATTCGGCCATGTTTGCGCTTCTATTTCACCATCAAATATGAAAGCAATCAAATACACTGACTGCAAGGACAACTCAAACACTGACTGTGGAGGACCTGGTAGAGTTCTGCTGACTACGGGCACTGTTTGCTCATACCTCTAGCTACTAACACTCTCGTGAGTTCGGCACAGTGAATTTGGTTGGGAAAATAAAACAGGCCACCGTCAACGCAACTTTGGGTGGGAGTTGTGTACTGAACGGACTGGCCGGTAAATTTGGAGATATATGCAAAGACTGCATGATGTGCTATGTTTTCGGTGTTGATTTTCGATCCAATATTAATGAGCTATGATTGCTCTAAATATTTATTCGTCCTATGTTGGTAGCATGTGGGTATCAGGATTTTGTTTCCGGCCATGGAGGCGCAATCGAATAGCACTCCAACAATGCACTAAAGGGTTCGCACAATGGTTTTCAGCTTCAATAACAGGTCGGCGTTTTGTTTGCTGTTCGGATGCCGGGTGATGAGTTAACGGATGATTAGCGATTTTTTTTTTAAATTAGCCTTTCAAGGATCGAACAATAGGATGATAGTATGAATTCATCATTAATCGTCCCCTGAAGCAACAACGGTGACGACAATGACCACGCCGAGCATTCAGGAAAATAATTCATTCGGAAAATTTATTTCGACTACGGATAAATAACTGAGCCTTTAATGGCTTTTGTTTTGCCCAGGGGCTGGTTCAGGTGGATAAGTTTAAATTATTTAGAATCCCATGGATTCACATATAGTTGAATCAAAATTAAAATAAAACTGCTGTTGTTTTGCATGTTGATTCCCCTTCAATTTGAGTCAAGTAATTAAAAAAAAAGTCCACTGCTAAGGTGATTGCTGCCACCCACGCTCCAGCAGAACAAAAAAAAAACTCCTAATCCAATAATTGCCCCATGATTTTGTATTTCTTTCTCCGTTTAATTGCAAAAAAAAGCACTCCCAGCCAAACGCGTGTTTCCTCCCGTTGCAGAAATAAAACGCCACCCAAATAGCAAAAACAAACAATCCGGATTAGTTACCCTCGCGCGTCTTCCAAACAAACAAAACATCAGCAAACCGAACCGACCGAACCTATTCGCTTCCTTGAACCGTAAACTCAGAACAAACGAAATCAAATCAAACCAATTAGCGAATGGTGTTTACATTTCCGCTTTTTCTCCTCTCTTTCTCACTTTCCCGGTGTGTTTACCTTTAGCCGTTTCATCTAGGATTACCCCAACCACCGGGCACGGTTGACCTGTGAAAACCAACCGTCTCTACAAAGGAAGAAGGAAAATCCCTCAGTCATGTCTCCATCACGAACAACCTGCTCACGGTCGAGCTTAGCAACGCTGGCGCTCATTCTGTCAATCACCTCGACCCTTGCCAGAAGCTACGAAAAGGATACCCACCGAAAGGGGAAATCCACACAGATCTACGCCTCGCAGCCCACGATCACCACTCCGCTGGTGGATATCTGCTCCGAGGACATCAACATGAAGTTGGCCTGCCATTGCTCGCCGGAAGGCCACGCCAAAGCCCAGAAGGTTTCCTGCTCGATCTTCGACGGTGAACTCCCCCGGAAGGATGCCAACTGGTTGGCCTTCCACACCCAGACCAGTTTGGAGAATCTCAAATTCACCGTCCGAAAGTCCGGCAATCTCACCTACATCCCATCGGACGTGCTGTTCACGCTGAAGAAGCTTCGGACGCTTTCGATCGAGTACGGAATCATTGCGGATATCCATCCGTACGCGTTCGGGAATCTGACTGAACTGCGAACGGTGAACTTGCCAAACAATCAGATCAGGATGCTACACCCCAACGCATTCGCCAACCATCCGTCGCTGGATGAGATCATGTTGGAGAATAACGACATCCGCAAGGTAGACCGGGAAGCGTTCGTCAACTTGCCGATGTTGATCAAGCTGAATTTGGCCAACAATACGATCAGTGAGCTGCACGACAATGGCTTCATCGAGCTGTCGAAGCTGGAGGAGCTACGGCTGGAGATGAACATGATTTCGGTGCTGGCCAAGGAGTATTTCAAGGGACTGGACAATCTGAAGATCTTGAAGTTGTCGTTCAATGACGTCAACTACGTGGGCGGTACGGTGTTTGCCGATCTGTGGAGCCTGCAGATGCTGTTTCTGGATGGGAACAAAATTGAGGTGAGTTGGGATGGTACTGTCTGCATAGAGAAAGAATTCTAATCAATTTTACTTTTATCTATTTGACTTCCGACAGAAATTGGACGAACGAGCCTTCGACGGGTTGAGCAACCTTCATTATCTGCACCTGGAAAACAACCGGTTGATAACGCTGGAGACTGGTACGTTCACGAGCGTTCCGGCCCTGAAGGTACTCAACCTGGATGGCAATGCACTGGAAACGCTGAGCTACAACCACATCGTTCCGCTGATGGATAACCTGGTCAACAAAAGTGCGCTGCTTTCGATCAGAGGTGCGTATTGTGCTAGTGCTATTGATTTCGAGTTAATTGCCAAAATCAACTGATAAGTCGAAGGTAGTTGTGTAGTTCAAATAAGGCATCGGAAGCAATTTAAAAGTATCTCCAGGGCATATTCACGTCATCAAATCATAAACATTTTATAGAAAAGGTGAAAAGGTCAGAGAACTTCGATCATATGTCAGAGGTTCCAGTTAACTTCGAAATGAGAAATCGTGTTTGAGAATTCAGTACACATTAAGGGAAATCCAGCGTCATAATCATATGGGCACTAAAAATTTACAAAAATCATAAAACAACAACTTTTGGACAGAAAACCATTTTTTTGGGCTAGCAATATCATTTCAAGCCAGAATTGTCGATGCATATCATGAAAAGTAAAGCCATATTGCACTTTCCTTGAACAGAAAAGAATTCTCGATCTTATATATCCCAAGTAACAATTTTGGTTTTATGAGGGTTCTGTAGACCATGATTTAGATTTGAAGAATGCTATAAAACCTTGATAAAACCTGCAATGTTACTTGGGATTTCTATCCGGTATTGTAAATTCCCGAAATTTAGGGACTTTACTGAAGTTTTCAGAGCTTCTCCATCTAGGAAGTTCTTTAAATAATCTATAATTTGCTCAATCATTTGCCGAAAATCACCGGACCTTAAGGCCAAAACCAACCCTTTAAAGCATTTCCCGTGCCAGTAGGCAATCTAAATAATCATGTTCTTCTTAAACTAATCTCCCAGAAAATTAAAACGCCCCATTCCACCGCATCTTTTTCCCCGCAGAAAACCGCTTCATCTGCGACTGTCGCCTGGCCTGGGTTTACGATCTCAGTAACCGCACCAGCAACGAGGACCTCCGGGAAAGCCTGAGCAAAATCGAGTGCACCCTCGGTAAGAAGACCTCCTACAGCAACGACCCCCGGCATGCGCAGTCCGTGGACCCGACCCTCCTGGAACCGGCATTCGACGACGACGGCGAGTACATCGAGGATGCCGCCGAGAACGAATTCACCGTCGAGGAGCAGCCCGAAGTGCTCAACCTGATCAAGGTGGGCAAGGAGCGGCTTCCCTGCCCGGAGGAACTGATCGGCCCGACTGACGGGCCCTATCCGCGTGAATCCAAAGGCTTGGTCGATCGATCCAGGGGACACTCCGGAGTCAGTGCCATTCGGCCAAGCAGCAGTAGCACGATCTATTCCGCTGTAGCATGTATTTTCGTTTCCTCCGTAGGCTTAGTGATGATCTCTAGCGATAGATTGTAAATTTGCTTAACTTATTTCCCTGCTGTGTATGTATTAGACGTGTAAGAGTGTACCGATAAAAACAAAAGACAAAGATTTACGAAACCAAGTAAAATGCATGATTTTAAGAGACCCCCTAAGGTAAGAACTGCGCTACCAAACTAGGATGTAATGTGAATTTCGGTCCCAGAAAATAATTAAAAAAAACCAAAAGTCGGAGAACGAGTATTTGTGTCCCCGAGGAAACCTCCTGATCTTTACAGCTACTTCTCTTTTTAACTGGTAAAAATAGACTTAAGCTAACCAATAATCCGATAAGAAAGACAAAATCACTCACACAGACACAGATTCTTCTTCACAATAACAAAAAGAGACATAATGAAACAAGTGATGATTAAGTGAGACATTAAGGAACTAAGCAGAAACCAATCGCCGAAAATGATTTAAGGAAGTAAATTTTAACGGTAGTCAAATCTTTTCAGTCACTTCATTACAAGTAAGTAAATAACAGAACTAAAGAAAAAAAAAACCCAAGGAAAACAGAAGAAAACAAAGAATTTGAAAATCTACTTTTTAGAATTATTTTTGATAAAGCAATAAAAAATTGATTTTCAAAGCGAAACCGTTTGCTCCCTGGCTCAGAACAAATCCGGGTGATATCACTTCCATTGATGCGTGCCACCCTTTTGCGTCCCTCGGATAAGCGGAGAGAAACCATGCTCGCTTTATGCACCCCCACCGAATCATCGAAAAGCAAGTATGATCCTTTAGGGTGCATGCAAATCGTTCCAAGACTGCCGAAACAAGCAAATACCTGGAACGGGCGACTTGCACGTACAATCCGGGACGGGTTTGCGGATCCAAAATCGAATCGTATCATCACTTATTCACCGCTCTGCCCCCAACCGCTTCTATCGGTTCCGGTAAATCAAATTTGCAGTCGGTGGAAAATGCGCTGATGCTGATGGGATTTTGCTTCTGCTTGTCATATTTCGTTTTTCTTATTGTTTTTCTCTCGAGGTTGGGTCATCTTGAGGCGGAAGCAGAGAAGGTCTGTGCTTCCGAGTAATGGATCGTTGAAAATTTGATAACGGGATTAATTGAAATGGTGCCGCTGGCGGATGGTTCTATGGATCAGCGAGGATTGAGGGCATCCGGTGAGTATGATACTAGGGATATTGGCTGGGCGTAAGTGGAATTTCGTAATTGACGTAGCTAGGAAATTTATCTGGAGCCTGTTGCACTTTTGTTTGATTTTGATTAAACTACGGTTGCGAAGATGCTATTGAATCAAATTGCGTCCAGGCAACTTGTTTTTCGGTAAAATGAGACTTGTAACAAAAACGGGGGGTGTTTTCAAACCCATATTTCTCCAAAGCATTAATGTGACATATGTAATGCAATATGCCATTCGACGGGGAATTTATCCAGCAATTTTGTGGCGTATAGTACAAACAGTGAAAATAGCTTTAAAAAAAATCAGAAATTTAACTAAAACTGGTAGCATCAAAATTTCCTATACATTTCCTTATACCACAAGGTGTCTTTCCTAACAGAGCCATCACATAGTTGGTACCAAACGAAACAAGCCGAAGCTGCATTTATTTTCGAACGTTGGACGTGTTCCTACCGTTCATCACGAAGCAGCTCTACACAAACGGTATGAAGAGCACTTCAGCCAGAAAAAAAATAGTGAAGAAGCAACACCGGCATTGTTCGAGTCGATGCTCATCGTGAGAAACACCACTGTTGGCCATCTTTACCAAGTGTCATGCTTACAAAGCGCTTATAGATCTCAGAATTCCTCAACCACAACAAAGAACAATTAACCCGGTACCGTGCACCAAACTCGCCACTGCCAGAAGAATATGAACCTGTGTGTAATCCACGCTAAGTGTGTCATAACCATCCCAAAAATCTCCAGCTCGTTGCTCGTATTGTCAGCCTTCTACACTTACTTAACAAAACCAAACTGCCATCATTTTTTTTAAACATAGGACTACGTCTTTCGGGAAGAGTGCCAATCCAGGGAAATGTAGCCAAAATTGGAAAGATTTCAAATGCTAATAACTTCACCAACAATCAATGGGTATTGACGATTTTTAAGTCGATCGACTCGGCAGTCTTATAAGATTTGTGTGATATGGCGCACATTATAATTTTTTATTATTTAAATAGCTTATATCTAAGAAATATGGAAACATTTCAATTTCTCATACATTTTCATCGACCGCACGGTGCTCGCCTCTAACACAGGCATCAGAAAATTGGTCCCTAACAAAACAAGCCAAAGCCGCATAATCATTCACCGTTGCACGTTGGACGTTAGATCCAAAACTGATTTTTGGATTCTGGGAACATTTTTATGGTATTGTTCCTCTGTATTTTACAGCTTTTGTCAGGTTAATCCATACCAAACCGACATATTCGTTTCAGCTCGGGTGCCGTTTTTTTTTTTATTTTAGAGTCCCAGAATTTTATAAAACTTTGCCCAAAGGTAGAATATATGGTTAAATTAAAGATACAAATATTCAAACATCACATCAAAGGTTGATTAATTGCGTAGGAAATCAGTGTGGCACGGCAGTTGTGATCAGCATACACCTTCCAGTCTAATGAAACAGGTCAAAAACTGTTCAAATCCACCCATACAATTTTTTGTGTTGAATTTCTGTATGGCAAACTAGTGAACTTTCCGTGAACATTAACGGCAAAGAACTCACCAACACTGGGAGACCGTGAGCCCACCTGTCATAAAACCATCTCGACCGCGAGTGATGGAAGAAGTAAACAAAAACTCCTCTAGAGAGAAGGAGAGTGAACTTCAGCGAGAGGATGATTTGACGTGAGGGCAGCGTTGCCAGGTCATTTTCAGAAAAATCTGGACCAGGTAAAATATAAAATCTGGAAAAATCTGGAATGCTCCAAAAGATCCTCTTTTTAGCATAATGTCATTCAATGTTGTGTCTATTCTTAGACTTATCCGATAATTTCTTTTAAACTGCTTTGTAGGTAAGGTTAGAGTTGGTTTGAAATCCTTTTTAGTATTACCCAAGTACTCAAGTACTTTGCCAAAATGGTTTTCAAAGCCATTCAGAAACTGCACTTAAAATTTTAGTAAAATTAATCTCCAGTTTGGCTTCTTATTTTTTTATTAGAGGAAAGAGCAATTTAAAAGTCTGGGTAAATCTGGAACATATTAAAAAAAATCTGGAAAAATACGTGGTCTGTCTGTCTATCTGGCAAGGCGACTAAATATCTGGAAAATCCAGATAAATCTGGAATACTGGCAACGCTGCGTGAGGGGCGCTTTTCGAGCTAGGCGAGTAAGAGAGGTGACACAGTCGGAAGAAGCGTTTGTTTGTTTACTAAAAGAACCATGCCCATTTTGTTATGGCAAGTTTGCTATAAGAAATGCTCCTCGTGTTTATTAGCGAAATTCACATCAAAGATTGATTAATTGCGTAGGAAATCAGTTTGGCACGGCATTTGTGACCAGCGTACACCTTCCGGACATATGAAACAAGTCAAAAACCGTCCGAATTCGCAAAAAAAAAAATTTGTTTTGAATATCTGTATGGCAAAATAGTGAACTTTTCATGAACATTAACGGCAAAGAACTCACCAACACTGGGAGACCGTGAGTTCATGCCCACCTGTCATTTTGCATCTCGCTTTTTGAGACTCCGGATGACTTTTTTGTTCGACGCAAGGCTCTCAGAGTTCACCCAGAGTGAGAGTAAGAGCGTGTGGTATAAAAAGACATTTAGAAAATATGAACATGAGTGGCCGAGATGGAAAATGACAGGTGGGCAGGAACTCACGGTCTCCTAGTGTTGATGAGTTCTTTGCCGTTAATGTTCACGAAAAGTTCACTATTTTGCCATACAGAAATTCAAAACAAAATTTTTTTTTTGCGAATTCGGACGGTTTTTGACCGTGGTCCTTATTATGATGAGAAACTTTGCCCAAGACACCAAGTCGCGGAAATGCTTCGTTTCGGAGTTATTAATTTTGCTCCGCTAGATTGCATTCCTGGCCCAGTGTGCCAACCTCACCTTACCAATCAGGCTAAGGCCTTGTTGTCCTCTGCTGTCCGAAGAAGTCGTCTCCACTCTACTCGATCCATGGCCACACTTCGCCAGCCTCGTAGTCTGCGAAGGGTCCGCAGGTCGCCTTCTACTTGGTCGATCCACCTTTCCCGCTGCGCGCCTCTTCTTCTTGTTCCTGTAGGGTCGCTTTCCTGAACCATTTTCAGTGGGTCGTCATGCGGCATTCCAACGACATGCCCAGCCCACCGTAGTCACCTAATTTTTGCAATGTGGACGAAGGATGGTTCTCCCAGCAGCTGGTGCAATTCGTGGTCCACGTTCCGTCATCCATCGGCACTCCACCGTAGATGGTACGCAACACCTTCCGTTCGAAAACACCACATAGTCGAGGTCTGGTGGCCGTAGAGGACCATCGGTCTAATCAGCGTCGTGTAGATAGTGCGGCGGCGAATTTTATTTGACCGGAGCGTCCTCCGGAGTCCAAAGTATATACGATTCCCTGCCATAATGCGTCTTTGAATTTCTCTGCTGCTATCATTTTTGGCGATCACCAGTGAGCCCAAATACACGAATTCATCGACCACCTCGATTTCATCATCGTAAATCTGAACTCGGGGTGGGAGGCTAACATTGTCTAACCTAGAACCTCTTCCTTTCATGTATTTTGTCTTTAATGCGTTGATGGCAAGTCCAATCCACCTAGCTTCAGCCTTCAGTTTGATGTACGCTTTCCGCCATCATCTCAAAGTTCCGTGCCATGATGTCAATGTCATCGGCGAAGCCAAGAACCTGGATGGATTTCCTGAAGATCGTGCCACTCGTGTCTATCCCAGCTCTTCTGATCACACCTTCTAACGCGATGTTGAATAACAGACACGAAAGTCCATCACCTTGCCGAAACCCCCTTCGAAATTCAAAGGGGCTCGAGAGTGTCCCCGATACTCGAACAACGCACATCGCTCGATCCATCGTCGCCTTGACCAATCGCGTCAGTTTATCCGAAAATCCGTACTCGTGCATAATCTGCCATAGATGA